TTTTTTTTTTTTGGATGTGGTCACTTATGCAAATATCATTGGTTGGAGTCTACTAAAACCTATGAAAATGATTCGCCATCCACAAGGACTTTTTTTTTTTGTTTTTAGAAAATATAACAAGAGACGAAGTATTCTTTATCTTCTCCATTTTTATATCGAACTTCTCTACTTTTTTATTCTTCTATCTCTGCATTCAACAATATCTAACATATAACTTGAAAGAAATATGATATGCTTCTTTAAATTGAAAGATAAATGCTATATTATCATTTCAATGGTTGAATTAATTAGATTTTTTTTTTGAGTTTAAATGCATGACACTCTTTATTTTAGTAAATTGTTGAATAAATGTGATCTTAAATAATTTGAGGGATTTGTAAATAGAACACTCAAAGTTTGCATTTATATATGTTAGCATGCAAATATTACTATTTACTCGCACAACATTTTATTTGTCTAGTAACAACAAATTGTCTCATATTGTCTCCTTTAACTTCTCAAATGTCTCATTTATACATCTTATATTAACTTCCCATTTAACTTCTCAATTGTCTCCTGCCCAAGTCATGACTTTCACAAATCTTTTTCATTAGCGATGGTTTCATGACTGCACGCTATGGGCTATATCGATGTCAATGTCTCCAACATGATTGTGTGTGCATGATTACATTGCAAGTACATCCCAATTCCTTTGTCATTGAGGATTTTGTTTGGGACCGCACATGTCGTCAATACAGTTAATTTGAATTTTATGCATGTAAAATCCTTTTTGTATAAATTTACTTCAAAAAAGTTATTTTTTTTGGTGACTTTGTGAGCAAATATAATGTTTACTCACACTTGAACTCGAATACATAAGCATATTACATATTCATGATCTATGCTATGGAAGTTGAAGCTTCCAACTATCGAGCAAAATACGTAGTTTGATAATACTGAAATCAAAATCTATAAACTCGTATCAAAGCGTGTTAATAAACTTGAAGTGTTTTTCTTTTTCCAATGTTCTTAAAAGTTTCATGATAGAAAATCCCAACATTTACAAAGTAAATATGGTCGTTAAGCTTTCGTGAAGTGTAAAAAATGTGACTTGTTATTGAGGATCTCATGCAGTACTTTTTATATGTGAAGAAGTGATGGACCTGAGGATACTGATGTGCCTAAAAAATGTACTATTTTGTATGTTATATTTTATAATAATATTGCACTTTAAATGTATATTTTCTTGTGTTTATGGTTGTAGGTACATCAAATTGAAGAATTTTGAGTGATTGGAGCAAAAAGAACAAAAATGGACCAAATTGGAGCAAATCGGGTCAAATCGGGGCACACCAGAGCTAAGGGGGCCGAAATAGAGCACTTAAGTGCCTGTGCCCGGCACATAAGCGTCCAAATTGGAGCTTAAGTGCCACCCAGAAAGAGAGGAGGGTGCTTAAGCGCCCAAAAACGACACTTAAGCGCCAAAGACAGTTTTCAACATATCTTCTAGAATATACATCAAATTTGGACGAATTTTGAAGAGTTGCTTCGCGCGTCTCTTGGGGAATTCGTTGCAAATCATAAAAGAGGCTTTCTAGAAGGATTTGGGGTGGTTAGAAGGAGTTTTGAAGAGGAACTCGATGCACCTTTTGGAAGATTCAATGAATCTGAACATTTTTGAAGATATACTTAAGTAACTCTTGAGAAATTATAAATAAGGCTTGGAAATGTTTTTAAAAGACCTCTTGAACTCTAGAACTAATTAGAAGAGGAGAAGAAGGCTTGGAGAAGAAGAAGAAGGCATGGGCGTGAGCCCCAAGGTGAGCGACAAGGTGAGAGAGAAAGAGAGAGAGTGAGAGGCTCTTGGAGAGGATTATAAGGAGATTGCTTTTGCTATACAATGGGAGTTTGATTTCCATAAAAGATAAGTATTTTCATTGTATTTTTATTTAAATCTAAAACTTTGTTTGTATGTTTTCAAAGTCTTGTTCAATGAAAAGTTCTTGTTGTTTCTCCATGTATAGTGAGTAGCTTATTGTTTCTCCGTGTGTAGTGAGTAGTTTTCTTTGTTCTTCCCTTTTATAATGAATTAGTATGCATGTGTAGGATATATAATTGAGTAGAGTGAGAATATACTGTGATGATTTTACTTTGTTCCTCATTTACATGTAAACTTGATCAACCTGCATGTTAAAATCTGTTGTGAGAACATGTAAGATCTGTGATGGTGTTGTCTCAATCAACTGTGGTAGAATCACATGAGATTGTATGAATGAGAATGTAGTCCATATGATTGAGTGAAAATAAATAGGGAAATAATATTTGGTGGGTGTAGAATTAGAGGACTTTAGAGTGACAGACTAAAACCCCTTAATTTGGACTATTATTTTAGGTTTTGATGCGATATGTTAGCCACCAGGTGGAGGGATAAGAGGGAACTCTAGAGTGAGAGTTATTATCTTCCATGCTTAGCCCTTCTTCAGAACTATTCAAACTTTAGATTAACTAATATTCTTTATAGCATCTCTAGTAAGGGTAAATAATATAATTGCTCCTATTTGTCACAATCACTCTCACTACTTATTTTACTTCTTACACATGTCACTAATTTTATTGTATGAGTAATGGTACTTTTAATATATTAAACCCCATTTTTTTATTTTCACTAAGTATTTTAATTTAGTAGTAGAAGTAGTATTGTAGTGATAGTTGTAGGATAGAATTAAAGACAAACCTTTATTGACCTTCCAAGCAGGGCGTATTATTCTATACTAGAACTTCTCTTGAAAACCACCGTGATTAACCTCGATCTCCATGGGATCGATATTCATGGCTTAATCAGAAAGCTCTATATTACTTGATAACAATACGTATACTTGCGTAGAATCCCTACTATTTAAAGATAGAATTGAAACATTACCTTGCTTGGGGTCAAGTCTTTGACGCCTAGTGGTACCAACTTCATAAATCCTTATATATAAAAAATATCAAGATCAAGAAGTCATGCCAATTAGCAAATAATGAATCAATCGAGATTTGGAAAAAAATTTTATGAGTGGTTAATTAGTAACATTCTACCTAGTTAATTATCATGTATGGGAGTTTTATACGGCTTCCTTTTTATTGTGCATGCTGTGCATGAAGTTTGAGAAGTTCATTGTGTATTGAGTGGTTAATTAGTAACATTCTACCTAGTTAATTGTCATGTATGGGAGTTTTATACAGCTTCCTTTTTATTGTGCATGGTGTGCATGAATTTTGAGAAGTTCATTGTGTATTTTTTATTTTGTACATTATCATTTTGACTTCATATATGTTTATTTTTTAAGAGATAACTAGATATATCATATTTGTGTTGCACAATTTACCCCAATGTTAGATAGTATCATTACATGATTCATGCTTAAATGTTGGAAAAATTATATATATGCCACACAGTTCTATTTACATATCTAAAACCTAAACTTTGATATTTACATTTGTAACAGTTTGATATCATAACCAATGTTGAAATCGACTTGAATGGATTGAGTTTGAATCGAAATCAGCTTGTAGCTCGTTATGTTCAATTTCTAGCCAATTTGGCTCGAAATTGAATACAACCGATTCGAAATCGAAACGAGCAAGCTCAATTTTGAGTTTTGCAAATTGAAATTGGATCAATCCTGCTCAAAATCAAAACAAGTTTCAGCTTGAAATCGACCCATGACTAGTTATATTCAATTAATTAGTATTATATATATTTATATATAATTTTTATAAAAAAAATAATTCGAGCCAATCTCGAGCAAGTTCGAATCGATCTGTATATGGCTCAAAATCTTCTCGAAGGAAATTTGATCTAAATTTTTGACTCAAAGCTTGGCTCGTTTATTTCGTTCCGAGCTAAAATTAGAATCAATTTAGAGCAATTAGCAATCTTCGCGCTAAATTGATAGCCCTAGTCATATATGAAATCCAAAGAGCATGAATTGCCAATTGCAAAAAAAAAAAAAAAAAAAAAAAAAAAAAAAAAAAAAAAAAAAGAAAGGGGGCATTTATATGTACCGATCAATTCCTATATAGTTAAATATTTAACAACTGAATAATTATTTTTCTTACATTTAGATGAACAAAATCTTTTGCATCACGTAAAAAATATTATTATTTTAATTTTAAAAAGTAAATATACATTTTCATGCATTGGTAATTTTAAAAAGTAAAAGTTAAAGTTTAGACGCCCGCCCACACGC